AATCATATTTGAGCCTATGTACAGAGGTCAGAGATATATACAGGCGAAATATTATTATAATAGTAGCCTTTTTCACAAAAGGAGAACATTTTGAAAAAAGGTTATTCTAAGTTAATTTTTAGCCTAAATATTGTATTTAAATATATTTTTTTGTCAAAATGTCCTTCAAACAATTTTATACATGTATTCTAATCTAAGTAACCCTAAATATCATGAAAATTATCCATTTATGTACTTTTTTAAAATCATGGTTCCAAACGTAATTGGATACCTTAAGGCATCAAAGGTCCTATCAAATATATTGAACAGTATATAGATACATGTATAATTACACTCATGGACAAAAAATTGTCGCACCAAGAAGGAGTAGCCAAAATGAAACGAAATTTTACATACGTAATAACTATTTTGATATAAATAAATGATTAGAAAATCAAAGAAAACGGATCATTTATTTCAGATAAAAAGGAAAAAGAACGGAGGATTTAATACCCTGTTGAACCCCCTTTAGGGCGAATGCACGATGCGATACGATTGGGCATTGAGGCATACAAGTTCTGTATGATGTCTTGAGACCTTTCGTTCCACATTTGCTGCAACCTTGCTTCTAGTTTGATCAAACTCGTGAGATGCTCAACCACCACATGGCAACACTTCAAACGGAGGCGTCGTCGTTGTGTGGGCGTCAAGGGCAGCACACGTAATGGGCTCTGCGATCCCGAATATCCTTCAGCCAGGCGCATCCGTATGGTTCTAAAAGACACAGGGGCTCCTAGTGAAGGTGCTACATGTGCCTGGATGCCTGCTGATGAAGCAGTTGGCTGTACGAGGGCATTTCTTACGATATTGCGGTCTTCTAGATCAGTGCTACGCAACCTTTTCATCGCTGCGGACCAGTCAACGTTTGATAATTTTACCGCTGCCCGCTGAGGGTGGGACACGTTGATTGTTTATATTTTAGATTGTTTTGATTTAACAATTTTAATTTAGTTACGTTTAAATATGCCTTCATAATAAAATATAGTAACACCAAAAAGGAATAAAAGTGATTTAACGTGGAATATAAAGTGATTTCCGTGGAAAGTTGCGCAAATCCGAGAGAAATGCACTACTTTAAATAAAATGGCAATAGTTTAATGTTCTTTAGGCGGTCCGGCACCATTTGATCCACGGACCGGGGGTGCGGATCACTGTTTTAGATGACTGGTCTGTCGAGGGCGTCCTGAGCCTGGTCTTGGAGTAAATGACATCTCTCGAATCCACTGGACACAACACCTCCTCACAACACAATCAGAGGGACCTAATTGACGAGCTACTCGCCTAACTGACCACCCAGCTTCCATCATGCCAATTATTCTCTTCCACTCAAACTGCGACAGCTGCTCATATTGTCTACGAAAACAGCGTAATGGCATGTCTACCTTAGCTCTTCCTTTGTAAATAATTCAGCACACTCAAACAAGCTTTGGTTACCTCTTCTATTCTCTACGAACGACGTTAAACACCCTCTACCGGCTATACATAATGCGCAATAACGCTGAATTTCTAATCATTTGCATATCTTACTGATATGTACCGTCATGCCAAGTTTCGTTAAGATCCCGCAATTATTTCTTGGTGTGCTAATTTTTTTTTGTATATTTGACAAAAATGCAATGCTGTATTTAATGCAATATAATTTTCTTTAATGTCCTACCACTGAATTTCAAATATAGACCCTTTAATCACAGACTCTCCGAAATGCAATATTTCAAGTAAATTATTAAAATACAAGGAAAAAAAAGACAAAAACATGAGGAAGCAAATTTAATCAATTTTAAATAACACACAGAATTGTAATGAAATTATTTTTAATAAGATAATATAAATGTTTATAAGAT